CGATAAAACTTTTTCCATTTGTTAACCTTGCCCGATTTTCCGTTTCATGCGCGCTATTTTGGAAAACTGGGAGAAAGTGTAGGAAATTGGGAAAACTTAGGAAGATAGAAGGTCCGGCTTTGAGGAGGTGTACATGAGGAAGGAACCATGAGGGAGAGAGGTTCTGCGGATACCGCCATTTCACACATCACGATTGTGCCCCCTGCTTCCTGCATTGCATGCAGTCCAGCCCAGAGTAAAACGAGCAACGGTGTTTAAACAGGGCTCGTGACATTTTATACCTTCTAAGACCCTCCGCCCACCCCCATGTAAAACTGACTTACCGCACTCCGACTAACTATTGCACTAAAATGCTACTTGTACAGGAGTGACGCCACGAATCTTATTGATAGTGAAGACACCAAAATCACCTTCAGTTCAGCTCCCTTGTGAACCAATTCAATGTATTCCTCAACGGCAATATTTCCCCAATGCGATATTTCAATTGTTCGCTCAATGTTCGTTGCCACCACGAAGGGAGAGTTGTTTTCGTAGTGAATTTTGATGGGTTTCTGAAACACGGACAAATTATCCGGAACCAACTCTCGAACCTGTTAACAGGAAACTAACACTATTGAACGCAGGCTGATCCTTGTACGGTCCGTAGGTAATTTTCTCATTTTCTTGATTGGTCGGCGAAACTTGCGTAGCTGACAGAGTTTTTCCGTTGCCAATCTTCACAGTTGTTTTCTCCTGAGCAACGGGATAGGCAGCTGCATAATGAGCATTGCCGTTGTATACGACAAACCTGAATAATTTTGAATAATTCCCAAATTTTCATATTTTGGTGACTCGGAGCCTTCCTCTTGGAAGCGTTGTATGGCCCGAGAAGGGGATGAAAATTCTACTGCCGAAGAGCTCTAACGACTCCGAAGAAACCAACCATTCTTGTAACGTTCCCTAACTATTTCTGTTGGCAATGTCCGGTTTTAAGAAAATTGAAAATTCTTCTAACACGGAAAAAAATTGGCTCAAGGCAATCGAGGACAGTTTGAAGGTAGTTGGGTTTCAGTGCATACTTCATGAAAGAACAGTATCCGCTTTGAGACCCGAAATAGTCATTACTAACCAGAGCCATATATGAAGGAGGCACATTATTACAGTGTGTTCATACTACGCGTCAGCATTTTGACCACCTTTTAAGTGACGAGGAAAGCATAGCAATCGATTCAGCGTTTGAGCATACGCCAAAGCCAAGGCACGCTAGCGTAGCTTCTGAGTGATGACTAAGCAATTATAGTTGTCGCCGTGTACTGAGCGGACACTGGTGCACGCTGGCGCATGCTAAAAACGCGAAGTACGCCAAAACACTGACGCAAACTATGAACGCGCTCTCACAGGCTGTTCAGAAAATGCTAAAAACTATATACGACGGTTGCGAAGTTCGGCCCTTAACAGAACAGCGAGTCTTTGCAAAGCGAGGAAAGTTGTGCAGTACAACCTTGTCAGCACCACTCTGCAAAGCGAGGAAAGTTGTGCAGTACAACCTTGTCAGCACAACCACACCGTCTCAGAAACGAGCTATTATGCCTCCTCTTTCCCTCAGTCGGGGACTATCTGTATCTATCTACTGTCTAGAAACGGGAAGCTATGAGATCCCGACCAAAGGTAATATAATGATGGTTCACGTCCCAGACTACCTTCATATCTTCCCAGTTCTTTACTCTTTGCCTATCTAATCTGGCCTACCCCTTACTTGGAAAGTCTTCTCTTCTGAAGTATCAACATGACGTCAAAAAAACAATGGCAAAAAAGTGAATAAACAAAAATGTACAGAATAAGCAACAAGAACTCTTACTGATTTTCCTTTTGAGTGATCTTCTCTGGTAAAGGTGAAAGAATTTCGGTGAATCGCTGCTCAACCTTCAACTTAACCTCAGCGCCTTTTGCAATACGGTTCAGAAGTTCAACCTTGTAAACCTGAAAAGTAATAATCACAAATTCATCCATATGGAACAACAAAAACATTAGAAATACTCGGTTGGAGGCAAATATTAACTAACCTTAAAACCCTCCTTCTCTGCAGCCAGTTTCGACACTTTCAGTTTACCCTTATTAGTACCCTCTTGAGCAGCGATGTAAGCCAGATGATCGCTTTCCTCTTTGGGGACCAGTACTTCAACAGTGTTGGCCTCCGTCGACCCAGTGTTTGAAAGCGTCAGCTGTGATGAGACCTTGACAATCTGGAATCACTGATAATATTAATTCGAAAACACAAATAAATGTACGATTTCCTGAAAAAAAGAGAATTATTAGATTCATAGTAGTTATGAAGATGAAAAAGAGGGGACTCAGCAAACGACACAAAGTAAAAATTTCAGATGTAGAAATATTTGCAAGAAGCCCATCCCCGAAAAGAGCACCACTCATTCTACCCGATACTTGCCTAGTCTCTGGCGCCGGCGTACCTTCAAAACTCTCAAAACGCTGCCGTAAACTGGCATACGGACTCAAACTAAATAGAAACGCAGCCTGGGCGCTTTGGATGAAAAGAAAAGTGTAGGCAGCAATCTAGCGTTTTGAGAGAAACGCCAGAGTCTTGAGCGCTTCGGGAGAAACGCTAGCATTCCGAGCGAAACACCAGCATTTCAAGCGCTTAGCTGCTTTTTGGTTTCAGAACACTGTTACTTCTCTCGAATGATAGATCAACAGTTATGCTTGGCATTTCGCCTGAAACGCTAAAAACGCTAACGAAAAGTATGAAGCAGCCTAAGTACCCTTGCTGAGAAAAGCCAATCACTAGGTCGCAAATATTCGAATTTAGACATTCGATTTGATGATTCGAAGACCTGTCACAAGAACCCCGCGAGTATCCCGAAAAATAAGTCTTCATGAACATGAAATTCAAGTTTTGATAAATTTTTCACATAACTTGGTGTAAAGTGGTAACCAACTTTAACTAACAGAAAAAACTGACCTGTGAGGAGATGTCAATAGTTCTATCCACATTGACCACCTTCCAATCAGCGGTAACTGCCAGACCCGCAAAAAGGAATAGTGGAAGTACCCACATCCTGAAAAAGAATAATGTTGGGAAGTTCATAGCATCGGAACTGATGATCTGGAAGCCTGTCAACCGTTTACATTCAACAATGATGTGTAGTTTAGAAGTTTTAGAAACGAACGACAAAACAAGCAAACCCCTTTCTATTAAAAATCAACAAAATCATGTAGAAAATAGACGGTATTTAATGAATCGGTGCAAAAAAGCCCTCAAAATCAGGATACACTGTGGCTTTTGGTACAGCACTAAAGCACTTTTCCCATTACTACAAACGGCCAGGATAGGCTTTGCCAAATTGGGGAAAGGAGCTCCAAGGTAGATGAAATGGCTCCTACACTAGGATTCCCTTCCTCCGCTTGAATGAAAATTTTCTCGCCCTTGGACTTTCGCACCTTCCGGCACGAAAACAATCCCAGATGAAGGAAAATCATAGAAACGGTGTGAAAACAAAATTCGAAATATTGCCATACACTTGGTCTACAATTGAACGGTCCGGTATATTGGACTTGGAATCATAACAGTTACAACTATTTCACTCAAAACTAAATACAGTAGGGGTACGGGCCTCTGATGTTTTTCTAGTTTGGCCACCAGTTCCTTTCCAAATTATATTTCGCATCCGAACAGTGCCGAAGCCCACCACGCACCATTTATTTTTGCAAATACTGTTTTACTTTATTTCCATTGAAGACGTGCTCAAAGACAACAAAATATCACAAATCTAACGAACTTAAATGAGAGCGACATATACATTGCAAGTGAGGTTTGAGGTCAGCACGAAAACTATGGATTCGAACCGCTTGAGCAGATTCTTTTCCTCTTTGCGAAGGCAGTGAGCTCCTTAGATCCTGTTCCGTTAGTATAGTACGCTAGGTAGGTGTGAATGTTGAGGCTTCCTGACAAAAAGATGAGTTCAACGGGGACCCCACACCCCAATTAGATTTCGTTCTGAGTTAAAAATTAAATGACCCCTGAGATATTGAGTTGGGTTTGAGTTATAATTATTGAAACCGGTGTAGTCCAGTGAAGATTCTGTCCACTGCTGCACAACCTTAAAAGGACAAAAACATTGGGACTTGCTGTCAAGTTAACCAGAAAATCGTTCATCTGGGACCTTATTTTTTGTTCCATTGTTCCAAGTAAAGTCAAAAGGTGTTTGATTAAGCCAATGGCATAGTAGCTAAATCTAAAAGAGGTCTGAGCAGGAAATGCTGCGATACAAAGATCATGGCAACTGGACAGGTGGGTGCGAAAACTCGTCCATGAAAGCCACGTCACACAACGGCAGAAGGGCAGACTTGTAGCGCTATGAAAACACTGTGCCAACCGTAACATAATAGCCGTTTTTCCAATGGAGTTGTTTGAACATATTAGCAAACCACATTAATATAAAACTGCATAATTAGTAGTTTCAATTCATGAAAGCAGACGAAACTAGAGAACTTTTGATGAAACCTCTGTTTTGTGTGGTAGAGAATGAGAATTGATTTAACATTTTTATGCCGAAAATTTCGGTGGTTCAGTGGACAGAGGATGCGACAGAGAGAGCAGAGTAAGTTTTCATATGGCAAGGCACAAAATGGTAACTGGCCAACTAAACAAGTATTATTCGTTTTCAGTTCTGCCCCGCCCCCAAAGCCTGAAGGGATGCAGCTTCCTGCCAGTGCCCTACAAAGAATCGATGGGTTCTTTTTCTTGTGGGTGTCTTTCTCTTCTGTCTCACCAGCATAGCATATCTTTTAGGTCGAGATATTTCAGTTCCCAAAAGGAAATCGTGCACCTCTTCCCAGAACGACATAATGGGCTAGTGCAGGCTAAGGTTACCTTAGGCCAAAGTCGTATAGAAGACAGAAAATGAAGTGTTGAAGGTAACTTCGGTTTCAATGTAGTCAGGTGGACCAGTCGCCAGCGCCTCCCCATCCTTGCCCCTAATCACGAAAAAATCATAATCGAATCATAGGCTTGAGGAGACTACGTCTTTTTCAAGGGACTCTGTTCATCTGCATTACAAGTTTGAGCCTTTTCTTGGGGAATTATGCAAAGGCGGCCGTGCCTTCTTCAAAAAAAGGAGGCACTGAACCATGTAGCTTTGAGCCATAAATGTCAATACTTCGAGGCAGTTTTTACTCGTATTTGTTGCTGATTAAGATTGGATACGCGCGCGAAATTGACGCCTTATGCATGTCCTGTTAGTGAAGCGTCCCTTACTGCAAAGGTCCAGAAGTAATCTTTCATCGCATCTTTCAGCCAAGCTGCCGAAGGGAAGAGAATAAAGAAGAGAGAAGAGAATGAAGAAAAAAAATGAAATATGAAAAAAGTGACAGGAAGGGTTACAGTTATTAAATTTCCCCCAACCGCACCTATTTGTGCACGAAAACCAGTCCATTTTACTAAGCAACCCCAATAGGCTAGTGATAAGACATCCGCGGGACAGCCAAAAGCCGGAACTTAAGGCGCGTTCATACATGATGCAGAAATGCCCGAACCAGCAATGTTTTGGCAGAAACTCGGAATTTTGGTTGCCGACGTGTGGAATCTGCAGAACCGCGGAACTTGCAGAAAGAGAAAATATGTCTATCGATTTCAAAAACCGTGGAATATGCAGAAGTGCGGAATTTGCAGAAATGCCGATGGACCGATCGATCCCCATCACTTCCTTTTGTCCGCAATTATGCTGCATGTCGGGCAAATTCTGCGGAATTTGGCCGAAATGCCGAATCTTGCAGAATCTGCAGATTCTGCACGAACGGCAACATTTCCGCACCGACGGCAGGAAGAACGCAATCAGATCCTATCAATTATTTGCTCCAATATTTGCTGAGTGTGGCAAATTCCGCGGGAATTTGAAGAACATGCCAGTTTTCAGATCGTATCTATAATTATTTCCTTTCTGCTTAAATTCGCAGTTCCTGCAATATTCCGCATTTCTAGCCATCATGTATGAACGCGCCCTTACCAGACAAGGTACGCCGGCGAGATTCAACGCGCTCCAATGCACGTCGTTTACAGTACCCAGCTCCTAAATCCATGTGGGACCTTTAGATGAGCCAGGATGTGATGATTTTTGCAAAGCTTTCATGTTTTGAACGTGTTTTGTTAATTATGTGCTTCTTACCTTGTAATTCATACATTTTCCGGGGTAATTTGTAAGAACTCTTCTGTTGACTTTCTACTGGGAACTTGTGCCGCTTCACTGAAGGCCTCAATGCTTATTTACAGTGGATACTCGCTCGTCTATTGTTTTGGCTGCCTGTATTTCTGTTTCTGAATTTGATATTCTCTTAGGATCTGCCAGTGATGGGCAAGCAACGTAAAGGAGGACTTCCCTACTTGAAATCGTCGCTCAAAATTGACTGGGATTCGGGCCGAGGAGTTTCGGCAGATGAACGAAAGTCACTGATTTCGGATGTACTGAGCTATTTGGAGGAGAATGGAGATCGAGAAGAACAACTTGAACCCTCGCCTCGAAGTGTCTTGAATGTTGTCACATCTAATGCTGGTTATGGCCTTCAAGCCTGTTTGGACCTTACCAAGACCGAAGCGTCTCCCATTGTTTTTCTCGATTCTGTCTGCCCTCGTCCCAGTGCTGTCTCGAATGCTCTTTGGTCTCTATTTCAACAACTATGCCGATACAGTTAAAGTTTACTGTCTTGGAGGAATTGAAGACTTATTATGGACTAAGCTCAATCGAAGAACAAATGCCTTCGTGCTAAAGAACTGCCCACAGGAGCTTAGGGAGCGACTGGAAGCCACGTTCACTCCAATGCATCTCCAGAAAGGGCGACACAGCTCAGCTCTTACACCAGTTTCCCTTGTTAAGTCAATGGGAAAGCCTGAAAAGGTTAAAAAATGACTTCAAACGCTTTTCCTTAGGATTGTACTAAAAAAGTGATTTTACCTATTGTTTCGAAGAAGGTCTCGGGTGGTACCGGCGATTTGGGAGACTCGGCGTCCGAAACACTGCGCGGTGAAGAAAGTATATGTATCAATCTGGCGACTGCAGACATCCAGCCGTTCCGGAATCTGGGCTATTCCGGCGATTGCG